CGGGTCCTTTCTTTGGAGAAGCCAAACCTTGTTTCAGGCCCTGAATGGGACATCAATGAGTGGGCCAAAAAAGGGGGGTGGGGGGCAGCTCTTTCCCAGTCACAGCAACTGGGGCAGAGGGAAGCTATAGCGCTCTGATATTCTTCTTGCGTACGTGTCTGAGGTAATATTTTTTTTTCCTGCTCCTTGCGTGAAAGAACGCAGGATGGGCATGTTATGAGATGTCCTTTGTTCCTGAGCTCAGTAAAATAGCACTGAGGGGGAAAGTTGCTTTGGGCTCAAGCGCATTGCCTCAGGCTAACAGCGGAGCTAAGAGGAAGAGAAATTGTCCTCCTAATCGCAGACCTCCGTGTCTTCCTTTATGCAGCAAAGTGGCTGGTTATGCCTTGCAGGGAATCTTGGTTTTGCTTGAAGAGAGGAGTGGAGGATGGTGAGGAGGTCCTGGCGCTGTTTCCCCGTGGAGAGCTGATGCCCCAGAGAGCCCGGCTGGCTGTCGGGGCTCATCCGGGAGGGCACAAGGATCTTGCCCAGCTTCTCCCAGCAGTGAAGCTTGAAAGCGGCCCCGCTCCCGCTCGAGAGAGCGGTTAAGAGGCACACGTCCCTCTCTTCCCCAAGGAAGAAAATAATTGCCATATTCATTTGTGGAGGGAAACAATTACTTCATTCATGACATGAAGTCAATTTTTTCCCCCCGTCCTGAACCAGAGGGAGCCCTGTACTGACAGAGGGAATTTCAGAGAAAGCCAAAACAAGACTGGCGTTTGCGCGCTGCAATTACAGGCAAAAAGCCGCCGGTGGTGGGGTGGTTCTTTCCCTCGGTTTTTGCACATCAGAGCAGCCAGAGCATAAAACGTTCTAGCTTCAAATCAGCAGGGGGAAGGGGAAGGAAAGGTCTCCTTTAACTCTGCCAGTTTTACCTCTCGCTGCAGTGCTGCAGTTGGGACGTCTGTGGGAAGAGGGCTCCTCTTCCCCTGCTCAGCTGTGGCAGCGGGTAGAGGACTCGAAGGGTAGCTTGAAGGAGTGGGTTCTTCATTTAGCAGGGCCAGGAGAGGCACAGGCAGGCACTTAACACAGGTTAAACAATTTACAGAGATTTGAAAAAAGAAAAAGGCTAGAAGGCCTTTCTGCCTGTGCCAGTGATGGGGTCAAATCTGAAATCTATTCCTCCGGAAGATCAAAGGCCCAGCCTGGGATTTCGGCCTGAGCAGCACGAATCACTGATGCGCTCTACGCTTGCATGCGGGATGCACGTGGACTCGCTTGGCCGGCAGCGTGGGGAGGAACAGGCTTTTTTCCTTTGGGCTTCTGCAAACGGGGAAACGAGGGTGAGGTACCTGCCAATCCCGAGGGTGAGCTGTTGCAGGCCAAATCCTCCGCGCGTGCTCTGACCTGGCTGCTTAGAGCCCGTTTTGGCCGGGAAGGGTGCAAGCCGTGTTGGGTGGTGCCGTGTGATGCTGCCTGTGTACCCCAGCAGGAGACCAGGCACCTTGCAGCCTTCATGCCCCAACCTTCAGCCCCTCTGGGACACCCCAGGAAGCTGGACACTGGGGCCCCTCTCTGCCACAAGATCCTGTTTCTGGTTTGAGCCTGGGAATGCATCCGCTCCATGGCCAACGGGGCCTCCGGGAGCCCCGGGGCAGGAGAGAGGGTGACCTGCTGGACGTATTGATGGGCCAGGCTGGCAGGACCAGCCTTAGTCGCAGCAGATAGGCCTGAGCAGATAAACTACAAGTCAGTGTCTTTTGTCTGACTCAGACTACCCTGAGCAGTTTCCGAGGGAAGCCGGGAGGCAGCCGGTTGCCTCCCAGCAGAGCCCATGTGCCGGAGCCACCGTGCCCATCAGGGTCAGCAAGGAGGGCAGTGGAGGGGGAGGTGGTATTTGAATAGAATAATTGATGCTAAATTCTATGGAAAAGGGGAAACCAGAGCTGGGCGGTTCTGTAAACATATCTATTTTTCACAATCTGCACCAAAATGATTGAAGCTGGTGTCAAGGGTGATATATGATAGAAAATTGGTAAAAGATTGATGCCGGGGGGATGAATATTTCAGGAGGCGCTGTATACTTTGTACAGCACGCTCCTTAAATCTTTAACCAGTGTTGGATAACCTTGAGAGGGGTGTTTATAAGTTGATTTTGGGGCGGGGATGATTTAGGGTCTGCCGTGTCCTGGGGAAGCCCTGCGGGTGATGCCGCGTGCAGGGTAAAAATCCTCGAGGCTGGTGCATGCTGGACCTCGGCGGGCTCCAGGGCCAAGGGCAGGCGATGAAGGTCCAACCGGCTTCGCTGTCCTCCTTTCCCATGCCGGCCGCTCCGGCAAGACGGAGAAAGAGGGGAGGAAAAGGCACCTGCCCTCAGCAGGGAGGCTGCCGCCGTTGGAAAGAAAGGTAGGGAAAACTGGGGTTTTGGAGAACTTCAGAGGGTCCAAGCACTGGAAAAAACCAAGCTGGAGATATGAAAAATGACGGCGGGGAGGGGAAGCTCGAAGCGGTTTGTAGAGACGCGTGAGTGGAAAAGTCCTGCTGGCTCGTAGCTATTTTGAGGTAAGGCGTTAATTGAGGACCACAGGGAAAACAATAAAGCTGGTCCCGAAATAGAGGCTGTCAAAACATCGTTGCTAGGAGTGAGTCTATTATAGTGGCAGGGCGGGTTTTTTTTAAATTTAATTTAATGTTTTCCTTTATTGCTGAAGCGGGAGCTTCTGTTAGCTTCAAAGCCACGGTGAGAGGACCCCGAGTTTGGGGGTTTTGGGGAAGTGTTTTGGATGCGAGCGAGCTCCTCGGGCAGGGGAGGTGGCAGGAGCTCGGCCCCGCTGGCGCGTGGCCGGGCAGGCGTTGGACCTAGCGCTTTTCAGTGGCGTCTAGAAGATGCCTCAGGGGTTTTCCACGTTTGCTGCTCCAGAGATGTGCTTGTTTATTTTGGAAATTAGCAGTGCCTGAGCTTCTTATAACAAAACCTCTAAGAAAGTAAGTTTTGTGGGTTTTTTTTTCCTTTCCACGTGGCCAAGGAAAGTGGTGTGTTTGGATTTTCGTGTTTATTTTGCTTCCAGGGTGGGGTGAGAGGAAGGCCCTCTTGCATCACAAGCCTTTTTTTTTTTTTTTTTTT